GGATCAATGGGAGTGAAATGTTTTTTTTTCCTCGTCTCCTCATTTCCTCCCTCTTGTTTGAAGATATCAGTTCGCGATGTAATAAAAAGTAGCGAGTTGTTTAGGAATTTTGCATGCCAAACGTGTGCGGACGTGAAGCGCATATAATAACCGACGCTATTTTTGAGATCTTGAACCGTCGTGTTACGACAGTCTGCTTCCTCCTTCTCCTTGTGGTCGAGGGAGAAACTTTCACTTATAAAGTTGTTGCTCCGCCGTCGCGACTGACAGCTCCATTTGCGACGTTAAGGGAAAAATTCCTCGCGAGAAAGACTAATCGAAAGTATGCTCAGTAGACTAACTGTGTGAGTTTTTCCGACTTCGCGAGGGACCTCCCGTTCCTCTTCATTCGATGGTTTTTATTTGACGTTACGCAAAGTGCGGCCAGAAAAGTTGCGAAAGCAATAGGTCTATCGCGAGATAGAAATTAACGGTAACGAATGGACTTTTTTCTCTATTTTCTTTTAAATTATTACAGTTTAAATTAGCGTCCACGTAATATAGGCTACGTAATATAGGGTTGCCGTAAAATTGGAAATCAGGGAAATGACAAATTTTTTTGGAAAATAAAAATTCTCAGTTTTAAAGAAGTTTGATATGCGTATATTATATCCTGTCGTTTTGGAATATATTACCAACCTAACAATTAAGTACAAGCAGTGTCAGCAACATTAATAGTAATTTGCATGCTACGTTAAATTGCTCTGTCAACAAAATATTTGACGGTTGCAAAAAATCAAGCTGAAAGTACAAAAAATTTTAAAATATTATTATTGAAAGTCAAAGAAAATTATGTTATGTTGTGTCTGGAAATCGTGTCGGGAAAAAGTTGTGGAATTTTAGGAACGAGAAATTTGTGGTAACCTTGTGACATAGTGAAACGTTCTGTATATTTTAATCTACACTCTAAAAAATGTCGGTGTGGATTTAACACTCGATGCGATGCCTATATAATTCTCACCATGTTGATGTTGAGTGGTGTTAAGTCTACACCGCGCTATTTTTAGAGTGTAGCATTTTCAAAGCTGGAATTTGATGTTCTTTGTTTCTCATCTTATATATCATCGTACGTTTTTGATATATGCCGCGATAATTAACGGAGTGGTGGTTATTTCATGTCAATTAAATCTGACGTGCACAAATTTGTTCATGTATTAAGCAGGGAAGTTTCGATCGAGCTTACGACACGATACCTACCGCAATTCCGAATGCGAGAAATTTTGGCAAATGGGTTATACGATGGGTTGTACGATTCATTGCCTCGGGGACGGTCAGCGGTCGTAGGCCGTGCAAGGTTGACAGTAAGATAGATTTATAAGCTAAAGTTTCGCCGACTGTCTGGTCATTTATCATAACTAACGCGCTTGGATCATGTTAGTCAACCCTTTAACTAGCGCGAGCTCACATATAGATATGCACGCGACACTTTATTTGCGACACTCTCTACCGCATTGCCCTAATATATTCATCGTGCGATATTATCTTTCGATACTAACAATATGAAAAATTGTCGATCACTCTTTACGTACCATGACAGTTTTTTTTACTATAATACATTTCTCGCAATTATAATGCATTTCGCGCAATTTCTTGTATTCTTATTTATCTTTAGTACCTATATGTATATTATCATGTTTACGTTTTACATCAAATTACACATTCACGGACGAAATTAGTTTTCTCTCGAAAATTAATGACGACTCTTTATGTCGGGCCTGTAGATATTAAATTCACAATGTCAAATTATACCCAATTTGAATTATTTTTAATTATTTCTATACGTCATTTCTGCTTACTAAATATGTCGTTAATTTAACTAAAACAATCAAATTGAACGATTTAATTCAAGAAAATATAATAAATTTGATTGAATTTGATTTATTCTTTGTTAAGTGCATACGTTAATAGATGTTGTTTGCGTTGTGAAAACTAACCTATTAACGAACTTATTAATAAATAGATTGGTTTACATTTTGACACATATGGAAGTAGAAAATAACCGAATGTTAATTAACTCAAGGTATTGGGTGTACTATTGATCCTTTTTATATTTAACAGTGTAATATTAAAAATTAACACATTTGTATTTTAATTTTCAAGCTTACGAAGACATGTCATCTGTATATAGTAATGCAAGTTTTGAAATTAACGTAAGAAAAAAAGGGGATGTATATTGTTTTAGATCATTTTTAGATCGGAGCTAAATATTATATAAGCTGAAATGTTTTTTTTTTGTCATGTTGTTAATCTATTACGTTTAACCCTTACGATCGGTTTCCTTTAATCGCGTTACACAGAATTTGCGGATCGCTGCAATTCTCAAGCTAAGAGGGTTATTGGTCGAGGTACTATAACAATCGTTCCTCGTTAAGACGCTATGCTGAACGCACCATTGTCTAATTAATGAAATTACCGAATTGCACTCGAAGCAAAATGCACCACAATAGATTGCAGATACTGACACCGAGTGGACCGGATTTCTATGGCATATTGACGCGCAACGGTGCCCTAATCTATTCTGGCTTTATATATCATCCGTATTCATCTCACACAATGCGCCGTAGTATTAATCCGCACACAAAGCAAATTGTATGATATTGTATTGTGCGGCTATATATTCATGCTGTCTTCATTCCTTCTGTCTCATATCACCGGAAAATTTATTGCTTGAAAGTAGTGTGTAATGTAAAAGACTCACAGAACAAACGGCTACAGTTGTCACGGCCAAAAGTCGACCCCATCGATACATTTTTTGGTTATAAGAACTATAGTACGATTGTGATAACCGTTGGCATAGCTTAAGATATGTCCATCTTACAGTTATAAATATATCGATGGGCGGAAATTGTCATATTAATAATATCTCCGGTTTATTTTGGCAACCAGCATTTTTTTTGTTCTTATACGCACACTGAGAGAAAAATGTTTGTAATTATAATTATACATGTATTACTATAATTATGATTGTTACCGTTATAATAATACTAACAGTAACTATATGTATAATTCTAGCAACAAATGTATATAGTTGGCAACCTAAAATCACTACAATTATGGTTGTCCCAAAGTATTGTATAACTGTAAAATTATAGTCACCTGAATCATTTTTGTGGTAATTTCAACTATTTTATGGTTATATAATAATTATACGCATAGTTACTGTTATTATACTATAGCAGTAATAATCATAATTATATAGTAATACATAATTATAGTTACAAATACCAGACATTTTTCTCTCACAGTACAATTGTTAAAAATACTTGACTGTTCAAAATAAAAATTGTATACGGAAATAACAGTTTTGCGGAAGTATCAAAAAAATTTTGCTACACATACAGATTTGAAAATAATGTTGCTGGAACCGTCGAAATAATACGTTGAAATTGTTTGCTAAAATATCAAAACTGTTTACAGCCTATCATATTCGAGATTCCTACGATTCCTAATTATTTTGGCCGCGCAAGATTATTTTCGAAATCTATATTCAGCTATATTTTTAGTACGAGATTTCCATCAAGAAAGATTAAATACCAAGTTAACGAAGTAGAGATTAGAGAAAGGTGTCCACGTGTGCGTGTGCCGTAGAGGAGTATGTGTTCTTATATGACATTCTTGCGGAAGAAGGTTTAGCCGGAATTGCTTCGACAGTAACTGTAATTCTACAGTAACTGATATACTAGTCTCTCTTTGTAGCACTCCGTATGTAGACGTAAGTCAATACGTTTCAACATTACCTAGCCGATTCGTTGTACCATTCGTGTTTGCGTTTAATCTCTTTCCTTAGCTCCGAGCTACCAGTCCCGACATAAAGGCATCGTAAAGTATCCGCTTTGATCTCTTTGCTCGGCGTAGCCTCCCTAATGCATACGACGGCGCGGCGAGATTATGCATTTATTGGAGATTATGTCGATATAACGTTTAGTGGTAGGAAAAAAATTGTGAGAGACGAAGAAGAGAGCGTTGCGCTTCGCCGTGTCGTCTCGTTGAGGTGATGGGAATTGAAATAACAAGGGAGGAATCGAAGCGCAAGAATTTCAGGCAAAACCTTTTTGAAAAATGTAATGAGAAATCCGAGAGAAATGGAATCCCTTAATCCCTGATATACAGGCACTTTTTTTAATGCCACGTCTACTTCTGAAATTTTTCTCTTTATTTTTCTTCGTTCACTCGTAATACACGTAGCTCCATTGTACGTATATTTCCGGGAGCTGCAGTTGTTTCTACGAATGCGTTTCTACAATCGCCTTTCCCATTTGCGCACCGTTGCCGGACGAATACTGAATGGCAAATAATTCATTTATCGTAGAAAGTGGTTCCCTCGTCGATTCTCGTAGCCGCGAGCCTTCAACTCGCAGCCGCCGCCGCCGCCATCGAAGATGCCGCCGCGAAAATTTCAGATCGTTATTTACCTTGCCGGGAGTTCAGAGACCGCCGCGGGACCGAGGCTCGCGTATGCAAATAGATATTTCATTCCCGTCTGCGGGAGAACAAGAATCGAGGTTGGGGGATAAGGTGATTTTCTCGAGGGAAATTCTGCATGGGGATACTCGGATTCGCCGAGTGGTGCGTTTCTCGTTTGTCCTATCCTTTCTTTCCCTTTCCCGTCTCCATATCGTGAACCGCGATAGAAAACAGACTGCGCCGCAATGTACCTTCCTTCGATCTCGGCTTTTCTCCCGGATGATTCCTTCGGCTGCGTGCCACCGTCAATCTCACGCAGACGGTTTATGTAGATCTATGGATTTAGAAATTGATCTAATTCCAAACGGAAATCGTACGAATTCAATTTGGTAAATCACTATATTCGTAAGATTAATTAATTTCCGCTAAGCTAAATCTTTGAAATGCACCTACCTCAGCGAAGTCGTTCTTTGTTTTAGTAATTTAAAATTTACAGATGACGAGCGCGAAAGTATACAGCATTCGCTAATAATGAAAATGTTTCTTTTGTTTTTCAGGGAGGAATTCAGCGGAGGCCGAGGATATCTGAGACGACCGATGGGGTAAGTACAACGAACTGTTGAGAATTCTTACACTAAACGTAATCTCGGTTTAAACCGCCACTAGAATCCCAAGCCTCTTCAAGAGCCGAGCGATAATACCTAAAACCAAAGAATTAAGCCGGCATGCTTGTTCTTACACATCTCACGTTCTCTTAAAAGCGTACCGAGGTATAAAAGTATAGAGTTGGCTTAAGGCTATTTTAATCATCACACATTTTCGTAGGAATCTATTTTGGTTTTCTTTCCCTGCGATCTTGAAATACGAAGGAAAAACGTTTTATTGCGTAAAATAATTCTCTTTTATTATTAACGTACGTTTTTATCTACTTTGTGGCAGAAATCTTATTCATGTTTAATGACGAATTGACAAGCAATGTGTAAGAATGTACTTCATTTTATATTCGTTCCATATTAATTAAAAAAAAAAAATAATAATTGTACGCAATACAAACTTCTTCGTGAAGTCAAGTGAGCTAAAAGCGATATTTGTAATATTTGCTTCGATGGAAGAAAATACTACATGATTTCGCGTGAAAACTTTCTGAACGTGACTGCTGGTATGATTGATCCGGAGTCCTTACATTCGTTCTGCCGATAATTATCACATGTGACGTAACTCGGTGCATTCCCTTACAACTTAAATCGAAGTTTCATCGGCACTCATTAGACCGAAGTAATTTCTACTCGGCAAATCGAAATGCACGGAATTCACGAAGTGTCGGAAGATTAGTTTCCTAGCAACCGAAATTGAAGTGGGCTTTGCGCGCCTCGCCCATTACTTTAGGACTTTAACCCAGCCTCGCTTTAATTACAACACATTTGCGGATTAAAGACTGCGATATTTAGAAGGGTCTCGACGACCGAAAGTCGACTAAAGTCCGATCGCGCAAACTGAAAGTTTATCTACTCGTTCACGAACAAGTATCACTGAGTTTGTTGAAAATATTTATTATTCATCGTTGCTTCAATGTATACCTCCTATGAATACATTGAACCATGTTTTTGCTATCTTGATAACTGCGTGACGTTATTTAAAAAAATATAGTCGTTAATTAAAACGCATTCGTTGTTCTCTAATTTTTCTTATTCAATTAATTAGATTTTATGGTTTGTATTATCAGCTTAGGATTAGAAAATCAACTCGATATCGTATATCGGACACTCTTGTGAAACAATGTTTCCACCAATGTAGGAATTAGGGGAATTGAGAAAACGAATTTCACATCGGATAAATTGAAATTTTAAGCCATTGCAGAAGCCGACTTGATTTATTCGCGTAAATACTTGTTTTTAACAGATGCCCTTTATCTCTCTTCTACATAGAATAGCCTAATAATTATTGTAATGATTTTGAAGATTAATTTAGAATCAGGATTTATATTTTGAAAATATAGATATCGAGCATTTCTCAAGATATTTTGTTTTTTATATAAGAATTTTCAAAATTTTTAAAATATTATTAATTAGTGAAATATTAAATTTATTCAATTATTTATTAAATATTTATTAAAATTATTAGATTATATACCGCTTCACCAATTTAAATTATTACATTATAATCATTTTTATCATCATTTTTATTATTAATTGAGGAGTTTATAAAGCTAAACATTTTTCGTAAGAGAAGGGAGAAATGTATCTTAGGAATTTCTATTAAAATTTTATGCGGCACTTGAGTAAAAGATTACGTAATCCGTGCAAGAGTTAAAAAAGATCGTTATCATTCACGCTGTCTTCTTACAAAGGCTAACGTGCGAGAACGATCTTCTAGCTAAATGAAATGTATAAAAAGCATTTTTGCGAAAAAGGGACGACAATAGGCCCGCCTGAAAGCAGTTTCTCGATTCTCAACGGTCAAAGTGGGAAACGCTCGTAACTGAAAGTTACGACCAAACTTGATTAAGTTCTCGGGAAGGGTTGCCCGCGAAGAAAGAGAGCGCATTTGTTTAGCAGGGTTAGAGAATGCAGAGAATGAATGTGGCACGGAGTGGCTGACTGGTAGTTAGAGGCGTGTTTTTCGCGCCTAATGACGCGAGCAGTTAATCATTTTTGCTCGGGAATTCGCGCGTCACTATTGCGCAATTACCGAAAATTAATAGCCGAGTCTCGTCCCCGATTTGACAAGTAAATCTCTTTTACGTTTACTCCAAACCTAAATATTCAATAACAAATATTTTGGGATTATAATGATTTATTTTCCGTAGCTTTGCAGAATGTTAATCATATAACACATATTGTAATATATACACGAAGACAAAAATGTGCGAAATTGTAATAAATATTTTTTATTTGAATAGTATCAATATAACATTTATTTACGGAAAATAGCTGTTTGCTAAATAAAAATAATAATAGTTACACGCACACATCAAATTAATGGTATAATAATTAATCTCGCACCAAATAAATATATGTTTACATTTAGTAAATTCCACTGAAACTATTCAAACAAATATTTATTAAAATTTAGTACATTTTTTCGCTCAGTGTATACGTAAAATAATTATTAGTTAATCGATATATTAAATATAATACTTGTTATCCTCCGTCAAGGTAATTTTTCTCATAGGATGAAAAAATTAAATTTTTTTTATACATACACGTGTATATATGTGCAAAATTTCCACTCTAGAGGAAAAGTTGCGTGATCCTTGATTATAAAAGTTACGCACCTACCTTGATTATAAAGAGAAGCGCGGTATCACGATAGTGTCTACAGCCCAAGCATAAAAAATCCGGAATATAAGAGACAGAATATTTGGCGTGGATTTATTTTCTAACGTATGAAATATTTTCACGGAAAGTTAACTACGTAAATTATGTAATGGCTCTCGGGGCGTTTTCTGCTCAATGTACACAAGGTCATAACGTCATTCGCGTGTCAAGCCTTGGCCCGGTAGGCCTGAAAGGTCGTTGCATCTCATTACATCTTGAAACATTTTGCGGCAGGTATACCATTGCAGATACGCGAAGCACAATCGATCTTTTAATCGGTCAGTGATTAATTGCGAGACGTCGGAGTATCGTACGACGACATCTTCCTTGCATTATGTCCTTTGTAGCGACATAAGTAATGAGATGTGCATCGGAAGTGTCGTGCAAAGTGTCGCGTGATCGTTGACTGTTTTCACGAGTACGAATGCCATGCTGAAGTAACGAGAGATTGCTGAGAGGAGAAAACAGCTTAGGAGGCATCGACGACGATGCAAGCGGAGGAGTAAGTATTATACTTCATCATTTGTTATTTATTTAATTATTAATTAATTTATTATTTATTACTTTATTAATTAATCGTTTCGTCCTACGATAATCAGAGTGTGATATAACGCCTGCAAAAAATACTTTTGATTTTATTTTAAGAATCTTTTAAAATAGTAAATGTCAAAACGTCTGCCTAGTTACTGAGTAGGCAGTCAGCGTCCCCTCACCCGTTAAAAACAATCGATTTGAAAAATTAAATGCATAGGATTTATGCGCTGACTGACTGACTGCCTACTCAGCCCCCCAACAAAAAAAATTTTTTTTTTAGCTAAGCGGAATGATTTTTGTTTGCGGATATAACTAGCGCATAAATAGCGCATTACATAATTTTTTCATTAAGATTTGGTTAAGTGGGGGGGGGGAGGGGGAGCAGACGTAATGTCAAAATATTTTTAATATTTTATATATGCACAGTATTTTCCAAACGCGTGTTAAAAATTTCTATTTATTATTTTTATTTTTTATGTAGGAACTGTGGGCTTTAATAAAAGCCCTCAAGCTTTTAATAAAAGAAAAAAAGAAAAAAAGTTTTATTGAATTGATTTTTGTTGGAAATTATTTTTTTTTTATGCGCACGATGTTTATTTCACGAGATATTATTATACTATAATATAATTCTATATTGTATTATATAATAAAATATTGATATTTTCATATAAGTTTGATTTGGTGAAATCAAGTTTTATTTATGATGTTATATCTTGAACGACAAAAACCAGATTAAAATTATATATTTTTGTATGCACTTATGTGCTAAGTAAAAATTATTAATATTTTTTCAATAAGTGTGTTAATTTATGTCCTTTTTTCCTTTCTTAAATATTCTTTTAATAGGTACACTTGAGGTCTTTGACTTTTATTCTTCTAAGATGAAATATTGTATAAAGCTATGGCAGTAAAGAAAATAATATTTGAATACATGATAGACTTTTTAGTATGTATATGTGTCATACGATAAATAAAAAAAGACACAAGAAATATTTTACATAGTTTCGGGATTTATATAATATAAAAATGTCACACAAAAAATAATTAATCACACAATTTTCTTATAATATTAAGTTTATTCTAATTTCTTTATAGCTTATTCATTTAATTATAACTTCATTTTATATAACTTAAAATAAAACATAAAATTTAATAAATACTCTATCGCAGAACAAAATAATTTATAATTTGCATTATCTCACTTTTATTGCATGTTATATTAAAATACTTCAAATATTAATATTTGAAGTAAATCTTGTATTCTAATAAAAACAATTACAATCTGCTAGCAATATGATGCGGGATATTTAATTTAATTGTCATAAAAATAAAGATGTATTAAAATGTATTAAAATGCATTGAAAATATGAAAAATTTATATTGACAGCAACAAATTATAAATTATTACAGGATTATTCGTTTGGATCTCACATCTTACTTGGAAAGATACTTTATCATCCATAACTGTACTTTGGATGTTTCGAAAAGTATCTGACTAAAGTTTTTATCAAACTTATGAAACTATGAATATAGTTATATTGAATTTATTTAAAAAATTATGAGAAGAGAGGGTGAAAAATGATTAATTATTATTATGATTTCGATATATTATTTTTGTTAGGGTCACTTAATATTTTAATCTTTAAAAAAACCGTCCAAACATTATACGATTGATTTTTAATTATCCTATACAAATTTTGCAAATATTTAAATACGCGATTGCATTGAATAAAAGACTCACAAGTCTAAAA